TCCTCTCTTCCTCTCTTCTTGTTTGTTTATCTTCTTCGTATTTACCGATTCATTTTTACAGCCATTTTATTTGTATTTCTAGGGTAAACCTTCATTGATAGTTGTAACATGCCAAGAAGATTTGGAACTATGCGATACATTCACCAAATGTGGAATTGGTAAGCTTCTTCGTCCTAAGATTCCATCATTGCCAAATATTTTGTTGTTGTTGAATTAAAAAAACATTCGAGTGTGCGAACCCCAGTTCATATTGTGAATTATAAAAAAACGTTGTTTTCATTTTTCTCTGTGCTTCAGATATTCACAGCACGGAAATAATTCTAGGAGGTGTGTTGAGTCAAGAACTAGATCTCAAAACGTATCCTTAATATTGTTATAGTTTGTTATTATTCGACGTCTGCTGTTTTGTAATTCTTACTGTTGTTGCTGTTGCTGCTGCTGTTGCTGATGTTGTTGATGTTTTTGTTGTCGCTGTTGTTGTTGCTGCTGCTGTTGTCACTGTTGTTAGTGTTGTTGTTGCTGCTGCTGTTGTTGTTGTCGTCGTTATGGTTGTTGCTGCTGTTGCTACTTTTGTGGTTGCCGTTTCTGCAGCTGCTGTTGTGTAGATGGTAGTGCTGTTGCCATTCCCATTTCACTCCCATTTCAATATCCCATGCACTTTTTCAAGACAAGTTCGTACCTTAACCAATACGTCCAGATACAAAGTAAAGTTTAAGTAACAGAATCACATGGGAATGGTATTATTATCTGTATCCTCTTCATGGTCTAGTGGACTAATCTCCTTCCACTCCCCTCCCCCTCCTCCTTCCCCCTCCCACCACTACCACTCAAAGGAGTGTTTCCCAGGATTCATATTTTTAACATTTTATTATGGATTTTTATAAAATGTGCATGGAGTGATGATAGCATGCAATGTGGGCACCCTTCTTGCTTGATCATAGTACTTTTCTGATGATTCAATGTGGTCTAACTTGGGTACAAACAACCTTATCGTGTCAATAGTCCCCTTCACAGTTCCCTGTGCCATCTTGAAAGGTAGCCGTGCCTTTGCATCAAAGCGAGATGAACGGTGAGCTTGCAATGATAGAGGCGTTAAAAAAGGCGTTAAAAAAGGTCTCTATCATTGCAAGCTCACCGTTCGTCTCGCTTCGATGCAAAGGCACGACTACCTTTCAAGATGGCGCAGGAAACTGTGAAGGGAACTATTAGACATTCCGAGGTTGAGGTAAAACTGGGTCGAGTTGCATTGCATTGTGGGACCGTTTTAGGGAACGAAATAGACGCCATCTCGGAAACATGTCCACTAGAACAGTCCCACAGTGCACATCAATGCGAACTCAACCCCCGAATGTTAATATGTTATTACTTAGACAAGGACAAGAGACATGACCGCCATGTTGGTTGACATAATAAAAAACCAAGATCAAATCTTTTGTGCTAGTCTTCCAACATGGCAGCTATGACGTCACATTCACATTGACAATAGACATGGCCACCATGTTGGTTGACATAATAAAAAAAACAAGATCAAATCTTTTGTGCTAGTCTTCTAACATGGCGGCTATGACGTCACATTCACATTGACAATAGACATGGCCGCCATGTTGGTGGACATAATAAAAAATCCAAGATCAAATCTTTTGTGCTAGTCTTCCAACATGGCGTCTATGACGTCAACTAACGAAGCAGAAATAATTTTAATGTGATTTCAATATTATCAAACATTAGAGAGAACTATACGAGGCTGGGCCTTTCTAGTACTCTAGTGTTGTATCGTTCAAATATATTCGACCTTCAATCTTTGTGTTTTAAATTTTAGTATTTTAGTTTTTGTTTAATTGTTTTTTGTTGTTTTTTTTGTTTGTTTGTTTGTTTTTTTGTTGTTGTTTTTTTTTTTTTTTTTTTTTTTTTTTTTTTTTTTTTTTTTTTTTTTTGTWYTGYAAGAYAGCYTTTGTTTAAAAACAAAAAACATAAAAGAATTAATTATTAGAGATGTTATTCAAAACCATTTATCTTTCCACCTCCTCATAGCGTAATCGAAGCCCTAATTTTATGATTTTGATAAGATAAAACACCTTTGTCATTAAATACTATTCAACGAGAGTAATGTTATTCTTAAACTGGAGTAGATATGTCCGTTTACTTAAAATCGTGATAATAATCACCTCCAAGATCGATCTTGCAAGATATTTTTTGTTTTTGTTTGGCCTCTTATATTATCTGTGTTCTTTTGCTCCTCCTTTTTAAAAGATTGAAATTTCAATATTTACGGCTTTTAAGGTGACGTTCTACTTTTGAACGTTGGATTTGAGCCCACGATGCGCGCGCTCAAAAACCGCTGAAAAATCTACAAGATTTTCTTGAAGAACCATACGCGTTTTGAGCTTCAACACGGCAAAACCCTCAAATTTTGCACGGGACTCTCTGTTTTTTAATAGTTCATTTGAAAAAACTCCTAAGAATCTAGGTTATATCAACTTGTTAGAAAAAGTTTATATTTCTAACACATGAAAAAATAAATTTTTGTAGGGATTTTTGTTCGACTTTATGAGATTTTTTAAGAGCACCGAAACTACAAAATATGACAAATCAATGTATCTTTTTGTCAAAAATACCCATGTATTATTGTAGAATGATTGACTAGCCGTCATTCGTACAAACATATATTCTGCAAATATGAATCTTAATTTTTTTCTAATCACTTCCGGTGGCGCAAGTTTCGCACCAAATGCTCGTGCGTAGGCTTCCATTAAATGCCGATTATCTCGAAAACGAGCTCGGGACACCCTATTTTTCTTTCCAGATTTGGAATCAGCATTAAATTTCAATTAGGAAAATCGAAGTTTAAAAAAAAGGTTTAAATCAATTTCCAAAAGTAGGCAGTCACCTTAACTTATAGATGGAATTGGAATTTATCTTGTGCAAATCAATGACTGTCACCCAGGCTAGGTATTAACTTGTCCTCGAACGAGCAAATTCGCCATCAACTTTTTATTTGAGGATTGACATGCACCGTATTAATAATAGATAAAATTGTTTAGCCCTTCCTGTTCGTCTTTCCTTGGGCTATGAAGTTTGACAGCTTGTTCCTGCTACTCGTGCGGAGCTGAGAAGCTTGTTCCGTCAAAATATAGCTTGTTCCTTGAGAGGGAAAGACAACAATCTTGACGACAATCTTTTCCTTTCCTTACCTTACCTTTCCTTTTCTCGTCGTTTTATTTTTATTTCTTATTAATATTTTTTCTTTGCTTTTCTTAACTTACTTTCATTACTTCTGGCCTTCTCCATTGCTGAAGACCAGGATTTCTTAGACTTCTGGTATAAGAGCGCATGCATTAAAAGACTTGGCAAATACTCAAAAAATATATATGTTCCTGATTATAAATTTTTATTTTGATCAAAAATAAACACGGAACTCTGTTTGAAAGCAAAATTTTCATAGATTGTATTTCACTTTCGGAAAACTGCGCATGCGCAAGAATGGATTATGCCAGCGTCGACACTAGAGGAAAACGTTTGCGCATGCGTGCATTTCAGCACGTTTTCTATGAACTTTGAAGAGTTCGAGTGAGAGAATAAATGTTTGTTTTCTCAAAGTATACAAAAAATTTCACGAGTATACTTTATTAAATAACGCAATATGAAAGAATTAGCCTTAAGTTTTAAGCATGGACACTAAGTTTTGGCATTTTGTGAAGTCCAATTTATTAGGCATGTTTGAAATTTGACTAATTTGCATAAGGATTCAGATCATGCGCAGACCTTTTTCACTCGTGTCGCCAGCGCCCTCGTTCTTCGCCGTAGGCCAGAAGATACGCAGGCTCTGGGTACGAGATTTCATTTTCTATCTTAGTAGTTTCTTCTCTTTTTGTCGTCGTTTTTTGAAAAGCGAACTACTTCATTTTCTCTTGAATAGAAGCAGGAACAACGAAGGAAGGAAAACAGTAGGAATCTCTTTCTTCCTCCTTCCTTTCTTTTTTTTCTAGAACAAACATGAATTTATTACTAAATTTATTACTTCATTGTCGTCGCTTAATGCAAGGCCAGCAAGTGAAAATGAAATAGTTAATTTTCTCTTGAAGCGAAGGAAGGAAAACCTCCCTCTTCTTTCTTTCTTTCTTGCTCTTATTTCGAGAACAAACACTTCATTACTAAAAATACTTCATCGTCGTCGCTTAATGCAAGGCAAGCAAGTGAAAATGAAATAGTTAATTTTCTCTTGAAGCGAAGGAAGGAAAACCTCCCTCTTCTTTCTTTCTTTCTTTCTCTTATTTCGAGAACAAACACTTCATTACTAAAACAAAACTAGCTCATAAAAAATAAAACAAACCAAAACACATTCAATAGTTAATTAGTTAAACTCATTATAACCTAACTCGAAGCTTAATACATCACCGACACTAGTTAGATAATTCTTTTGCTTCCCACTGAAGCTTAGCGCTAACCGACATTGAAACACTTCAAAAAGGCCGCTATTTGTTGCTTTTTTGATTTTACAGAATTCGTTTTTTTGATTATGTAATTATCCATAAAATACCTATATTTCTCCTTTTCGAAAAACTGATATTTGTATTCAAGCTATTAGTTTATAAATAAAAACTTTTTATAATATTAAAAAGCTTCTTGAGTTGATTTTATGGATGATTACATAATAAACAGAATATTACATGGGCGCTTGGAGATACGAAATTTATCTTCTCGTGTTAAAAATCTCTCACTTGTTCTCTGCGCTCACTCGTGAGAGATCTTTTCAACACTCGAAGATAAATTTCGTATCTCCTCGCGCCCATGTAATATTCTCTATATAATGATTGTGCTTTCTGACGTAAAGTGGTAACTCAAAATATATTTTGCTTTTTCGTAAACCCCCGAGGTGTAGTTAACTATCCGATTAAGCTTTGTTTTGACTAGCGCAGATAAATATCTGTGAATTAATGAATTAATTGACCTTTTTTTCATTGAAAACATTATTTTACGGCATTATAAAAATATTCGTCTCACTGCCCTTCGTATTATTATTGTTATTATTATTATTCCTTTATTTCACAGCAAAATAAGAATATTACAACTCTTTTGCTTGTATACATTAACCTTCAGCTCGAGATTCTACCCGGCTCCTGAGAGCTGAAGTACTATTCTTAAGATGTGTGCCGTGCCTAAAAGTACAGATTTCTGTTATTATTATTATTATCATCATCATCATCATCATCATTATTATTATTATTATTCTATTATTTTATTATTATTATTATTTTATTATTATTATTATTGATATTATTAATATTTGATATTTTAATATTTTTTAGTTATTTATATTTTAGTTTATTTTATTTTGTTTTTTTTATTTCTATTTTCTTTTCTTTCTTTCTGTTTTAAATTCTTTCTTAGCTCACAAAGTATGGATATAAAAGTAAAATAGCGAGACATTCATTCGTATTAGTAAGCCGTTTATTGAGTAAAAAGACACGTATACTATTGACAGTCTATGGCATAAATTAATCGACTTTTCTGAGTTCTTCTTTATTACTTAGTTTATGAGCATTACTTATTAATAATTAATCATCATCGTCTTTGCCTTAAATTTTCGTTGATAATTGTTTATAGTTTTGAATCTACGAGGGGGGTTTTTTGCTCTGAATAAAACGGAACTTAAACGGTCCTCTTTTGTGTGCTGCCTATCAGATTGCAGTGCCCAATCAGGCGCGTGATTATCCTTCGATGTGACGTACAAATGTTATCTTCCAGCTTCCCACATATATTCATACGTATCTAGATATTCGCATTTATTCGATTCGCAATTTGTCATAGGAGAGTTTATCGAAGGAAATTATTGGCGTTCAGTAAAACTGACGCCGATGCCATTATATTATGTTCAACGAAAGCTTAACTAACACGGAAGATAACATCAGAGTCTGTTTTTCATTGAAAGTTAATTTCGATATCACAGGATCGGTGTACACTGCTCATATTATTACTCTTGTTGCTAACTCTCTGACCGCACCTACAGCCATCTTCGGGAATCTGTTGGTGCTAATTGCGGTCTTGAGGACGAAGAGTTTATATTCGCCTTCGATTGTACTTCTTTGTTGTCTTGCTTTGTCGGACTTAATGGTTGGTCTTGTTGCACAACCTTGCTTCGTAGCACATAAGATTGGTGAACTTACGGATAATATTAATATATACTGTATAACTCGAGTCGTATCCGAAACTGCTGGGTTTGTAACAGTTGGCGTATCGACCCTGACATTGACTGCTATAAGCGTGGAACGATACCTTGCGCTGAAGTTACATCTTCGTTACCGGGAAGTCATCACTTGCAAGAAAGTCTTAGTAGTAGCTATTTCATTCTGGTTGATAGTGCTACTACTTTGGGGAGTTCGTTTTGTGGCTCATAATAAGACGTTTGATGCTGTCGTAGTGTTATTGCTACTAATGGCCCTTGGATTAACCCTTGGCTGTTACTATCAGATTTTCAAGACAGTTCGAAGACACGAAAATGAAATTAAGTGTCAAACTACAACTCAAAACGAAAGCATTTCGGGAACAACTTCCGGACAGCGGGAAAATAGGATTGTAAGAAACTCCTCTTGTGCACAACCTCCAGAAACAGAAGCAAGAAAATCACGAAGAAGAATGCTACGATACAAAAAATCCACGTCAGCAATGGTGTACATCCTAGGTGTCTTTATCGTTTGTTACGTTCCAATTCTAATAGTTAATATTTCGATAATAATACGAGGATATACGAAAAGCGAAAAGATTGCTTATGTCTACACTAGTACAATACTTCTAATGAATTCTTCAGTAAACCCAATCATCTATTGCTGGAGAATATCTGATATCCGGCGAGCCGTTAAATCAACTATAAATAAGCTTGTGCGTGTATATGATGTCAGTGAGTCTGTGCATTTTAGTGTGGAGCGATCTGCTACTATTGCAAGATAATAGATTAAGCTCGTACTACGGCAAGAAACCTAAATAATAAGCGAAAACTAGTCGAATCTTCTAAATGCCAAAACTTCCATATTCTTCCCTTAAATATATAAATATCTCAAATATAAACAAGATCGTGCGACATCTTCAGTGATGTGATAGCTGAGCTTGTGCAAGTAGCGAAGCCAGCGAAACTGTTTAGCAAATGAAGGGAAACTTAATATAAAAAAGGAAAAATTGTCAAAGGTTAAAATCCGCAAATCTATGAAATCTCTAAATGTTTTTAACTTGAATAAGGACTGCTTTAGTACAAAGAAAAAGCAAAAAGATTATAAGTAACTGTAGAATGTTGGATAGACTCAGCTTTGCTGGGCTCTTGTCCAAAGTAAAAGCATAAGTGTTTTTATTTTTTATTCAATTATTAATGAATTCTTAATTTATATTGAATTTAGTTAAATGAGCCCAGAAACTTAGTGTGCGCAGATAGCTAATATCTATCTTGATGGCATTTGAGACAGTTGAGATTAAAAGGAGAGTTGCAAAGGAGTAAAGAAAGAAATATTGAAGCGAACGAACGAATGAGAAAAAGAGAGAGAGAAAAAGAAGAAAATAAAATAAAGAAAGGAAGGAAGAAAGACAGAAAGGAAGGAAGGAAGAAAGAAAGAAAGAAAAGAAAGAAAAAAAGAATCATCTCATTAGGTATCTGTATAAATGTATACTACAACCTTTCTGCAATCAAGTGTATATATATATGCAGTCAATGTCATGAACGTTGTCCACTGAAAAAAGACATTTACACATTTAGACATTTAGGCTAAAAGAAATATCACGTGTTTCCTCGAACTTTCTCTCATAAAACAAACGCTGCAGTACAATTCTCCATCTTAAATCCTCTCTAAATGGTCGGGGCATTCTGGATTATCGATTCACGAGTTGAATTTTACATTTAAAGTTCAGGATCACTTTAGTCTAAATGTCTAAATGTGTAAATGTCTTTTTTTTCGGTGGACAACGTTAATGACATTGACTGTATGTATATATATATATATATGCGTACTATTCATAAAATGTATATATATAGCTACATCGGGCCTGTATCAGCCACACCGATATAAATACGTCTATAATAAATCATATGCAATGAATCTATAACGGTTTATTATCAAATCGTATGACACCGGTTTTTCCTATTTTCATTAATGTACAGTGAGGACACTCGAACCCTGAACCTTGAGTTTTTTTTCTTTTTTTCTTTTTTTTTTTTTTCTTTTCAAGTTTATAGTATAGATTATAAATTATTTTGATCATCTGGTGTATTTGAACTCAGTGCTTTATTTTAGATGGCTTGAAGCAGTAGAAAGTTTAGGAAATAAGCCGATGACCGTTCAAGTCTCGTCGCTAGATTTAGTTATTTTCAACCATTATTTTTTTTACTCCTCTTATTTATATCTATTTCTTGTTAATATATGAATATTTACTCAATCAGTAAACTAAATAAAAACTTGATAACATCTTTGAAATACAAGCTGCAAGACATCAACTTTCTCCTCGTCCTTGGAATATTACTCAATCAGTAAACTAAATAAAAACTTGATAACATCTTTAAAATACAAGCATAAAGACGTCAACTTTCTCCAACTCGTCCTTGGAATATTACTCAATCAGTAAACTAAATAAAAACTTGATAACATCTTTAAAATACAAGCATAAAGGCGTCAACTTTCTCCATCTCGTCCTTGGAATATTTATATGTTTAAGAGACGAGGCTTATTCAAGTAGCATAGGATACGATTTTGTTGTGCGCTTCAGCAATATACAGCAGAAACTAATTTAATAGCCGAAACAGTTGCTATAGTAACTTCACTGTTTGTCTAGCGTTTTCAACTACGCCAAAAAGCTTCGAGCAAATATTCAATCAATCAACTTTATTCAAAGAAGGTGACACATTTCAATGGCACATCTGTGGACCTCCATGTAGTAGCGCTCTAGCACGGTCAATAGAAAAAAAACTAATAGTAGATTAGCTTCGAGATTGATTAAAATTGTCAGGCTTCAACAGTGACCTCTTTAATGGTAATTCTAATATAAACAAAATAGGCATGTTTAGACGAACAGATGGGCCTAATATCAACTTGCTAATAATGTTTTCAAGTCTTTTGACAGGTAAAAAGAAACGAAAAATATATGAAAAATAGGTTTATCAATGTCACCTAAATATAATCTCTTTCCATCATCAGGAAGCCCAATTATGGTCGGGAAAGGCTAATGAATATTGTAGGATGTCGTATTAAATAGTATTTTATTTTCATTTGTAATTTTTTTATAGCTCTCTTATTTTTAATGTAGACAACGTGTATTCATCATTCACTCGTTGCGTCCGAAACGGGCAGCTTTAGGAGTCTGAGTTCACAAAATTACCTTGCTTTACTATGGATATTATGAACTATAAATAAGGACTTTGGTACACCAGCATTTATGATTTGCATAGAAAAAAAGAAAGAATGCATGGATACTCATAGTCATGGGCTAAGAATATACTGGCTCACAGGCCCAGTATGGGAGATGGATGATCCTAGTAGTGGGCTCCTGATCTG